GTGTTCTTTCAATATTTAAGTATTTCCAAGCAATCCAGGCATTAATTCAGGTTTTTTTTTATCAATGAGTCACATGTGTCCATTTTCCTGTACTTCAGGAACCCGGCTACCTATTTCACTACTGTGAAGTTTTTCAAGAAAGATAACTCTTTACATGCAATTACTATATGTACATGGTTTTATTATAAAATTTCAATTTTTAAACGTTTATAGATAAATATTTTTACACAATTTCAGCATTTATTAAATTGATATACATTAATGCAATACTAATCTGTCAGTATCATTATTATTGACATTATTTTGCCTAAAATTGTGTCTTTCAATTTTTTTTCAAAACTCTGACATTCTATATTTTTTTGTGGCAGAAAATTTTCTTTACTTCAACGCAATATAACTACAAAATTGGAAGAAATTCTACTGAGAAATGGTGACACAATCCTATTACCTTAAGGGGATGATCGAGTGATCGTTCTACTAGTATGACAAGCAACAAGGACAAATATCTTGATTTTTACGTCTTTGATTATTTAATCATTTACCGAGTTTTGTTCTGAATGTTCATTTAGTTTTAATTTGCCTGTTCCACCTCATCAATCTACCAATTCGGTTTTTGGCTTTATGTTGTTCAAACTCTATCGATACTAGATTGATAACCTCCTTCTGCTCCTCATTATTTAATAATATCCAATGTCACCAATTCCCCGCTGTATGGTTAAATATGTCGTCAATAGTAATGTATGTCTATCAAAGGAATACACACTCGCCTCTTCCCTGTCAAGGTCTGCCAACAAGAATATAGTAGCGTGTTTTCACCATTAATAAGACATGCTCTATCGTACACAGGTGAAACGCCGCCTGGTTTTAGCACCGTGACGCTGTTATTACTATGTTAATGTCGATATGGCCGAGTGCTGCCATTAACATCTGATGACTGCATCCTACCTGGGAAGCAAATCGCTCCATTCTTATACATTCCAGTGCGTCAGTGTTTCAGGGGACCGTCATCAATAATTTCAGGTAAATCGATTTACAGCGGAGGCTATGACAGATATTTGGATGTCAGAAATTATTTCCATATTTAAAGAAAAATAATAATCTGAAAAATGGAGTGTGTTTAACTGCATGAATGTACAATGACATAAATGTATCGATTAGAACAAGCCGGAATGCAACCCTAATATTAGACACTAGGAACAGGCCAGACATCGTTTTTAGCATCGTTATGTCGAATGAGACCGCGTTTGAACTTATTTCCTACAATATAACAAACGTCGGAGTTGAAACTCATTTGAAACTGAGTTGAAGTTCCTTCTCAAGTACTTTGATGAAATACGGGTCAGAATGCAGCATTGTCGTTCATTAAACCTAAATAGCATGGCAAGTGAAATGCAGGCATGTCTTTCATCAGATATGTTTTAACATATTGGTAAACCTTAATATGTTGGCATATAGTCTTCTATGGTCCTACAGATGACAAACTTACAACAGAGGACTTCCAAAGATTCAGTCTGATGAGGACTGTGGACAGATTTGATGGTCGCCATTATGAACACGTAGGGGAATGAACATATGCCATTTATTTGTGTGATATGATTGTCGATGTTTTTTATTATACTCATCAGTGTGCCTTATGGTTCTGAAGTCACTACCCGAGTTTCGACATAAGGACGTGACTTTACTTGGATATGACTTAGATTTACATGGCGGGTGTCGTCGATGAAGCAGAAGACGCTTACCTTTCCGAAGAATATATGGCCTTATTCTCCTGGAAGTTTTTCAAGAGTCTCTGTGTGAATATTTCGTTTGGTCATTGTTTGCCCTAGTTATATCGACTTCGAGTTAGAATTAAGGTTTTGTTGACACTTCAGTATTCTCTTGTTGTCATTTTCCCCATAGCAACTCGCTTGGTGATAACTGAAATCATGTGATCTTTTGGACAAAACTGCTCTTGAACGTCCGTATATCCGAACATTCGATGCCCTGAGCCGTCCTGGCATCCAATGTAATATATCGGGCCGGTTATAATTATGTCCTCTGGAATTTTGTTTTCAAGACCTACAAAGTTCCATTTTAGTTTGTTAGTTGGCCTTATAACACATACAATCTTATGAACCTTAAACAGCCTCCTGATAGTTTCGAAAATATTTCAGCCGTTTATATGTGAACACGTCTGTCGTGATCGGGAGTTAAAAAAGCGTTCACCAGCACCTATGCCAATACCCTTTAATCAGAATTTTCCACAAAACTTGATTCAGATAGAAAGTTAATAAAAATAGTCTTAAAACAGTGACGCGTAATACACAATGTGGTATCAAATCCGAGAAAAACGTGTGATATTTGGTATAAGGTATTATTCGAAATATCATTTAAAGTCTGAAAGATAGTTTTTAACACCCGGTCTGGAATGTTATATATTATATCTTATCTGAGGGATAATACGTAGTATCTTGTCAGAGGAATAGTACGTAATGTCTGGTCCGGGGAATACAACATAGTGTCTGATCTAAGGGATACAACAGTATGTGTAGCCTGAGAAAAAGTGTGCAAAACATTTCTAGCTTATCTTAAATGGGTATCATTCCGCTATATCTATTTTGATCGTATCGTAAAATAAAGAAGTGAAATTTGATATTCCTGTCTGTAGAGACCATATCTCCTTATCCCGATCGGCCCCTGTCGTACGATTAATTGGATATTTCACAATGTATCTGTAGTATTAGTTTGTTAACTACAATTTATACACGGTCCCTCTATTTACTTATATTATCTCTACACTTTACACTATCTGCTACCCCTATTCAATATTAGTGGAGAGAGTAAGAGGGAATATTATAAAACAGCGTCATGAAAACTCAAAAAGTTTAACTGATAGAACTGCATTTTTCAGTTTCTCTTTACTTGGTATTGTAAGAATAGAACACATATCCACAATAACACTATCTCTCTTGTCCATAGTCTACTAAAGAGAACCAAAAGAAGATTCTTTAGTAACCAGACTCCCTATGTCAATCTTTCTAATAAGTCATGATTGAGAGAACTGAGATCTACCAGTTACTTTATCTTTCCCCTACTAGTCTTCTTCATATTGCTGGATAGAACTGCGACGTCCCCATGGTCATCATAACTTTCTCTATCAGGTCTTTTCATATTACTTGAGAAATCTGTGGGTTCTACAATAATCAGGTTTATCTACCTGTCTTTCTAAAAATACTTGAGATAGCTGTGAAGTTTTCACAGCAATCTATATATCCATCGATTGGTTTTAATACTCCTGGAGAGACCCGTGTAGTGTCTATAGTAATCATATGGAAATCCCACCGCTGCCACCAATGTGATACCTTTCGTCGCCTAAAAACAAACTCTCTTTGCCAGTCTTTTTACCAATTTCTTAGTACTAGTAGGTGGAGCTTTGTAGTTTCATTGGTCACCTTAGTTTCTTTTTCACTCTTTCTTATATAACTTTGATTTCGAAACGAACCTGTCCCTCTACCGATACATCTCCCTCGACACTACAGGTTTTTTTTTTATTTAATATTACCAGAGATATATGGGTTGCTTCTAAAGTAACCAATCTCCCTATCCCATTGCCAGCCTCCAGTTGAGGACTTATTTCGACAGTAACTACAGTGTACATCTCCCTCTATCATTTTTCTTATATAGCTGTGGAGAACTGTGACATTTCCACCACATCTCCCCCTTCCCCCGCCCCAGGTCGATAGCCGTTATCACTGTCGGATAGACACTGCCGAGTGTGTAGCCAGTTGTCATATTAACAATCGTCAACATTGCTAATGATGTAAGCTCAGAAACAATACATATACCCTATTGTCATCCACTTATTGATCGGGGATGTATTAGCATTATCAGCGGCGAGTGAAACCGACCCACAAAACCAACATTAAATATTGAATGCCACAGTCGACATTGTTAGTGTTTTAATTGAATTTCCGTGTAATTTATTTTTCCCTCTCTCGTTTCCATGTTTAATGGGTAAAAAATAGCTTGATTGGGTGTAGTTTATAAATATGACCACTGGAGTACTTGGTGTCTGGTATACCTGGGATATTTGTCCGTCCATATTTACTAGTAATACAAGTCTATAAGTACGCTCGCTAAAGTGGTGGGTCCTTGTAATATAGAAGTGTCTATATTGAGCTTCGGACAGTCGTACAGAAATAATCTCACCGTGTCAGTTTACGCCGTATTTAGACTGTAAACGAGAGGAAGGTACAGAAGAATATCTATCATTAGTGTCTTAATTCTAACACGTAGGTCAACATATGTGCCCTACTTCACAAATAACTTAGATTATTAGGTTCATATTTAGCTGTCACTTTGACCTGTATTCAGACGTTATTAACCTTTAAAGTATGAATATAATTGGGTATACAATACAATAGGATAAATTATACCGGTAAATACATAAAAAGTAATACAAAATATACTCTTTATAAATGCATTATTCATATGCATACAATGTATAACTACAGTTTATACGTACAGTGTGTATATTCAATGAAATATATATATGTATATTACATTCGATATATACCTAAAAGTATACATACAATATGTATACATACAAAATACCCTTTCTTATTCACACTGTGTCCAGTACATACAGGTATGTTGATAAACAATCTGTATATTGGTGAAGTTTGTGTGACACACCCTGTATTTATTTAATACAAGTGTGCTATTCTTGTGGTGAGCTAACTGAATACACATATACATATACAGACAGAATTGCATGGAGAAAATAACTTTTTACCGGTGTTTAATATCTTTTAACCATTCTTAAAATACAAACTGATATACATCGAACGCTTTAATAAAGTAGCAATAATAAAGCGCTTTAGAGTAATTTGACAAATTATATAGGGCGCTATATAAATGTTGTATATTATTATTATTATACCATGTAGAAATCAATTCAAACTGTAGTTATTTAAATTCGTAATTAACTTGTGAGCGTTTAAGTTTTCATAGGGTGTTACCTGGTTCTGTTGCCGGGTAAAGTCCTTCGCCTCCTCCATCAGTGAGGATTAACGGTCGTCTATGAATATCCACTAGTAGACTCCGTTTTGGTCCCGATACTAGTTCCAAAGCCTTTATTATTTGCCTTGAGCACATAAAACCATATTAGTTCGAATATTTGGTAGCGTTTTATCGTGGTTTATTCGTACTCGGCCTCAAATGGTTGGACATGTAGGTGTTGCTCGAGTCACAAGTCTAGGTGTTTTTCCTGCTCTCATTCACAAACCAACAGGCCGTACGTGCAGAAAGATTGCCTTGCTTCGGCCAGGTGTATTGGCAATGTTTGATAGAATAGTCATTAACAGCAACTCCCAATGGTAGTATGTAAAATCACTCAACCGAATCACACAATGGAAAGGTGAACGTGTTACTGTTTTAGAATGGACTGCCCGTACACGTCGAATGCGTTGTCATTAGTCCATTTATTTTCACCTATTCCGGTCCGGCAGCCGACCCTTACTTTCCACTGTGTTGTAGTGAACTTTAATTACACTCGTTCATGTGTTATTGGCATGTATTATGGTGTTGTCTGGTTGACTTACACCATTTACCTTTGGTCAATAACTGACGGACGGCGACAGGTAAGAGGGATTACAGGTAACGCACAAATGAAGAACCAATAATCCTATATTCATCGCACAGTTTGTCTACGCGAGTCAACCTTGCCAGTACCCATGTGTTACTAATTTATTCTATTAACATGACTATATATCTCTCTATCTCTGTTTATTTTTATAGGGCTTATATAATCTTCTGTTGACGCATGTGTTGTTCATTAGTTTGGTCGTGTCATCATCCGGTGACTTCTGTCTATACCATTAGTTTGGTAGTCTCATCCTCTGTTTCATTTTGTTTTGTACACTATGCTGATCAATCCTCTGTTGACGTATGTTTTGTTCATGAATTTGGTTATATCATCCTCTGGTGACTTCTGCTGTACCATTAAATGTTAATATCAGCATTTGTTTAATTTTGTTTTGTACAATTATATTGATGTCCATTGTGTATCCACATAAAGATTTACCTACCTAAAATACCCGGATGTTGTAATGTCAGCCGGACAGTCTTTGTTAAAGCTAATATCATATAACTGTCATGCGGTATCTGTGCTGTAGCATTCAAGTGAGGTGGCACTATAATTGATACCATTGGAAGCACGGTCCCACTACAAACAGAACACAATACATCTCCAGCACACACACAGGCATACACACATCGGGAGGTATTAGCCAGGTGGCATAGGGATTCCTTAAATTTAAGGAAGGATTTAAGTTAAGGAAGCTTCATGAAGCGCAATTTTATTTAAGTTAAGGAATCTCTTTATATTTAAGGAAAAATACGGTTTAAGGAGCTCCTTAAAGTTAAGGAACGTTGATGAAACCGGGGCCAGGTGGCATAGGACTAGTAGTTAGCGGCTGATAAGGCAGCACCTGCGAATTCCTCAATATTGTATTGATTAATATATATGCGAATTGTATTGACTGTATTAAAATTCTATATCTATGTACTGTAAAGGGCTTTAGAATGGCGTATGTTAGCTAGATAGTGCGCTATATCAAATGTTGTATATTTATTTTTATTTATTTATAACAACGGGTGTATCACCAAACAAAAGCACAGGTACATACGTACTGGTATAAGTTACGTCAGAAATATTTGCATCGAGTCGTTCTTAAAAAAAGTTTGCATAGCATTGGTAACACGATTCGGTGGTTTTAAAATGGCTTCGAACGATTTAACTGAATCATGATACTCCCATCTACTTGTAAACAGTATGTAGTTGAATATTATTACGAGTAATGTATCAACGTGATAAAGTAATAAGCAATGGATACAACGACGTAAACCGTACAGTGAAGAGTAAGTTAAAATCACAGGTAGTACAAGTTATTGCCAGTAATATATTATTATTATAATGCAAGAAATACATATAATGACAGTAAAACATAACACAAGAGGCCCAGGGGCCTTAATAGCTCGCCTGGTATTTCATTTAAAACCTGCTGTATACCATATCAGTTCATCAAAGGAGTTCAGGAAATGTAAGATAAATGAAGGACTAAATATGTTTGCGTGGGTAAGAATACAAGAACACGAGTGCATAGTTTATGCCCATCAGTTGTATTTTGTTATATGGTGTGGATCCCAACTGTTTCCATGTTATGACCCAGGGAGTTAGCCCCCAGGGGTGGGTCTTGACCTCCGAACAATCCTCGTAGCACGAATGTCTTCGCTTCTTCATGCCTAGTAATTGTATATTTTGTTATGATGAGGATCTCAACCATTTTAAAAATGTATCAGGAAAGAGAGTAGTGTACTTCGATCGGGAATCGGACTCGCCACCCCTGACTTCCTAGCTGGACGCTCTACCAGTGAGCTAAAAGGATATTCCCTCTAGTTCGAAACTAGAAGGCGACCGTAATCCTATGTACAATCAAATCAGCTACACTACTCACCCATCTTCGAGTGTGTTCGCCCTCGAACACCACAACCCGGGATCTAACTCCATGTGTAACCACAGGGCGGGTCAAGGACACACTTTATAACAGTAAATAGAGTAGTGTGCTTCCATCGGGAATCGAACACGCGATCCCTATGTTCTTAGTCGGACGCTCTACCACTGAGATAAGGGGAAATTCCCTCTAGCTCGAAGCTAGAAGGCGGTCGTATTCCGATGTACAAATAACATGTGCCACAAAAATACTTAATTCTTTCAGTGGGTCCCGCCTCTCTGTCTTCGGGGGAGGGGTTCCCCCTCCATCATACAAGATTGGCTCCCCTTTGTTAGGAAGTAGAACAATTTTAAAGCTTTACTTCTGTATCCCCTGTTATTTGTATTTGAACATTGTTGAATATGCCTATAGCCAAGTAAGCTACAGATATTACGTCATTACTTCACGCCACATGCTGTGCTACCGAGACATTATTTTGGGGTTAAATTCCTCTGCTACCTTGACATTGATTTGAACACAGTTTTAGCTCGTCACCCAAGCAAACTACACACAAAATAATTTAGCAGTTTTGGATTATACCAACTTTGACCCCTGCGACCTTGAACAATGTGTGTTCATGAACAATGTGTGTTCATGACGAATCCCGTTGTTATGAAATAATCACGTTTGAATTATTATTCTTTTTTGTCTGAAGACGTCTATATATTTTTAAACGAACATTTCAAAACACATTTTTTAATGGGCGTACGCCCCCCCCCCCCCCCCTTTTCAAAAGAAAAAATCCTTACATTAGTGCATTTCACAATTATTTTGTGTTTTTTAGCAAAAAAACAAGTCCAAATGTTTTTTCGACTCGCTCCGCTCGGTGATATCTCATTCTACGCCCCATCTTTCAAATATCCTAGAAACGCCCATGGTGATGAACCGGCCAAAATCGACTAAAGGGAGATAACTGATGCATGCTAATAGAAACATGATAAAGACCGGTTATTACATTTCGAAGGGAAATAACTTCGTGTATACTTAATTCTGTAACGTGTTCCGTATAAAAAGTCGTCTGTACATTGGTTATACATTATAACACTAATAACTTTAACATTTCATAACACTTACACAGAAGGATATGCTTTGTGTACATGGCGGATTGAGTCTAAACAGTGACGTATACAGACAATATATAACGCCTAAGCTAGATACGTATACTGATAAAGTTATTTTAAGATTTCCAGTGTGTGTATTTAAGTAAAAGGCATGCCCGTGTGTAAGTCTGACATACAGATCTATCTATATATAATAGTATGGGTCAAAGAAGTAATATTTTTATATTTTCAATTACAGTTTATCAGTTCTATCTTCTTGTAATATGATGTATATGTAACTGTTCTGTTTCACTGTGTCTTGATAAAGGAGCGGATCGCTTCGTAAATTTGACAACCTTAACTTGTCCACACTGTTGGAATTACTTATTTGCCCCATATATATAATAGTATATATATTAAATCTTTCCCGCCAAAAAAGGAGATGCAGATGTAGACTGTCAACAAGTTACATGTATGGGCCACAGGGCTTTGTTACAGTTACATTAGGATGTTTAGGTCCAGATATAACGTTATAGCTGTGATTAACAACTTCTCAGGTCCCTGTGGTATGAGCACGGAATGTTATCTAAGTCCGTGGTATGAGCCATACAAAGTTTTCTAGAGAAACTCACTATATGCATATATGCAATAAATATGCTTGAGTTGCAATATCAAAGCACGGACTTAGATAGCAATTTATTTCCGTGGTCAAAGTAAATCTTTTATATGGTTACTTTGATATTACACATTTCCAAACTGATATGAATCTTACTGAAGGTGTGTTATTTTTTGTTGGATTAGTTGTAACTCCTGTCAGCCCATTGTCATGCAACAGGTCAACTTGCCAATAACCGTTGTGTACTTGACCGGTTTACGCTGATACAGCAGTAACGTATTAACCAAACCATGTCTTGGGCGATTATATCTATATTACCACAGACTACAGTAATAATCGCAGGAGCATGGTATGTAAATGTATCCAAAGGACAGTGGGTAGGGATTTTCTTCACGCCCCCGTGTAATTCGGTCACAGATCACTGCTGAATTTATGACGCGCGACCTATTTACAAAGGCTAGTTACCTTGACATTGTACTCTGCTTGTATATATAGATATGCCAGGCACTAGGGCTGTTATCGCTAAGCACCTAAACGAATGAAATATCGAAGGAAGTCGAATTAGTTGCATATGTACTGCTGACGGTGTTATCAAGGAAGGAAACGACTGAATTTTTGAAGGAAATTAAATTTGGCTAAGGACAGGTAAGTCTCGCGACAGGTGTAACAGTACAATTACGTCGAGACCGATTTCGGAGGAACGAACACGATCAGGCTATGTAAACACATGACTCGTTACAATATATAAGGGTCTTCCTGTCTCTGATCACATCACATTTTGACACGTAACATCAGCAGACACTGATGTCAAGGCACGACAAAATTCCATTGGCCTTACATATAAGCTAGTGTATGTGTGGCTAGTAATATTGAAGTCACGTACTGATTTGCATAGACCTGGAATTCTGACCAGATTAATATTTTACAATTGGTTAAAAAAGATACCCTGATGCTGAGGGAAATTAATAAATAAAATATACCACAAAGTACTGGTGAGTGAGGGTGTATTGGTGGGAGGGTAGTGTTCGGGGTTGGTCACGACTTTTGGGTTATGTGTCCGTGGGCGAGTGGCTCGAGTTTCCTCTGGGCCTGACACTAGACTTAGATATTTGATAGATGCATGTTTGCTGTGGGCTTGCCTTGCATCTATCTGTCGATAAGTCTGGTGTCTTTTATATCTTTATTAGGGGTCGAGTGTATATCAGGTCCAGTACACTCTGCCGATTGAGCTATATAGCTATAAAGACCTATATAGCTATATACACCTATAAATTATAGCTGTATTGAGCTATATTTTCTCAGATTTCAAATTTCATTAAATTAAAGCAAAGTCGCATAAAACAATAAGGTTAATGGTAATGTTGACTACAAAAAGCATACAGTTAGATGTTTATTTTCATTTTTCATAAATGTAAAATATTTCCGATTTCTTTACATCATTATTTTTTAAAAGAATACTTGTATTTAATGTCTTTTGTTATCAACTTAATGATACAATGTTCTTTTAAATGCGACTTCGTTCTGTTTTCCTTAAAAAAGAAAATCACTTGAAAATAGCTCAAAAGACCTATTTCAGATAGGTCAATAGAGCTATTATAGGTCTTTACAGCTATATAGCTCAATCGGCAGAGTGTACTGGACCTGTATATGGAAGTTTATCAAATTCACTGAATGCTCAGTACATTTAGCCTCAACTTCAGCTACAAAGTGCTTTTTGTTTAACTGTCTCCATACTTGACTATGTGTACAGTTTATAATACTAAAACTCATTTTTCAAATGGCATTAAAAAATAACCTCTTTTTACTTATTGTCATTGTTATTTTTTTTCAGGCATCTGAGGAGAGTGAATGGAAAACTGTATTCAAATCTCTGATTTGCACACGGTGCATATTGTTCAAAACACAATGTGTGAATGCCCTAACAGAATATGAACTTATCTGGACAAGCAATTTATGCCCCAAAAAAGGTATATTTGTCCAAAAGTTCAAGTGATTGTACCCAGGCTGCAGGGGATGAGAAGACAGAAGATTCTGTTAACAGTCAAGCTGTGACTGACAACATGTTCGAATTACAATCTCAGAAGTTCTTGTCACTTTTTGGACAGCCAAATACAACACCAAAGCCATTTTATACACCAAGCTCACCTAGTGGTCAGTTTATCGTAAACAGTAGTACTGGTTGTGGTCATCAGTTGTATATGGGTAATGAAATTGACCAACAAACAGCGAATTATCTGCCTCAACACAGCAGCTACTCTCATGGCCTTGGCCTTCTTTCATCTGTGATCAGTTCCACTGGACCCAATCAGCTGTCTTCTGCAAACAGTTCTTTTGAAGGTCGACATTCCTTTGCAACAGCTTCCGCTGACACTGGGAAACTATCTTCTGCATGTTATTCAAAGGAATCTGGTGGTCAGTTGTGTTCTGAAAATGTCAGCCCAGTGTCTGCGAGTATGAACCAAGTGACTTCTGTGAATACAAGACCAGTGCCACCTTTGAATTCCAGTGAAGTGCCTTATGTGAATGCAAGCCAAGCATCTTCTGTGAATGGTAGCCAAGTGTCCTTTGAAAGACTAGCGAGTTCCTTTGGTCAGAATGTAGACCCTTACAACACCTGTCAGTTTCTCTCTCCAAAGAATTTAGAGGTCACTGGCTCTGGCCAGGCATTGTCTGGAAGTTGTGCCGTTGCTATAGACACTGAAGCAACTGGGAACAGTGGAAGAGTAGAAAATTTAAATGATTCAAAATATGTTGAGCAGCTGTCAGGAAATACTGGTAACTCAAACAGTGTTAGTCAGTCCCCTATTACTTGTAGTACAGCCAGATGTGACTCCACTCAAAGTCCCTTGACGTTTAACGAGGGGTTCGTTAACTCACCAGAGAGTTGGACTTTTTCCCCACTTGTGCCTTTTAGTCTATCACACGATAATTCCTATGATGAATGTGCACATGGCAGTCCATTTACAGGAATGCCAGAAGTGACCAGTCAGTCTACACTTGATGAGTTACAGAACGATGTTAAAAGTTCAGTTTCAGATAGCAAAGATATGTCCAGCAGCAAATGTTACAGTAGCACAGTTCAAAACAGAACGGAAAAAGCTATGACATGGGCTCAGAAGTATGGAATAAACATTAATGCTAAACAAAAAACATCTTCGCGGCAGTCATTCAGTAGGATTAGTCTGGCAGATATTGAAGAATTTTCTGGCAAAATTGTCCCAGGAAAACGAAAGTCTGTCGAAACCTGTAGTTCAAACAACAAGTTACTAGGACCCTCAGAACCTAAACAAATGTCCACTTCTCCAAGAGAAGTGAAATATTCATCAGAAAATCACGTGGATTATTCAAGTTCTGTGATATTATCATCGTCCCAGGTGTCCTCGACAGATATGAACCAGGAACATTCTCTAGAAAGGTCCCGTCAGGGCCAGAATAGAATACCATCAGAACTGTCCCCTATGCCCTCCAGCACATCGGAGATATCTGCAGTGCCCCCTAAGATGTATGGGATATGTGAGGAGGACAGTAATGAAATTAGCAGCTCTGGAAGTGTAATGGACTATGTACAGAATCAGGGCAGTACTGACACCTACTGTCAGGTGTGTGGGGACAAGGCGGCAGGATTTTACTGTGGGGCCTTCATCTGTGAGGCGTGTAAGGTATGTACGCGTGTTACATGTAGGTCTAATATGTACCACTTTAAGGTCAGGTGTGCCAAAGATTAATTTAGATCTTGGTTTGGGTGGTCCATAGACAAGTTGTCATACAACTTTGATCAGGCACATACAATTTAGCAACACCAAACATTACTAAATGATTTTGTCTCAGGAATTTTCATACATATTTAACTATTTTTGTCCAACCTGAGGAAAGTGAATTTATTTCAGGACAATCATAACAATGATATGCGTTTATAAGCTCTAATATGTAAATGTGATTTATTTTAAGACAATCATAACAATTATATATGTTTATAGGCTTTAATTTATGATATGTAAATAATTTGCTTGATCAAAAACTGCAGGAAATATTTGGTATATATATGTTTTAAAATGAAAAATATTAAATTTTCATTTTACAGAAATTCTTTATGAGAGCCAATAAGCTGGAAAAATTAAAATATGTGTGTCTACGGGTAGGCAGGTGTGTGATCACCAAGGAGAGTCGAGTTCAGTGTCAGTACTGCCGATACCAGAAATGTGTTAGTCTGAAAATGTATTGTCCAGGTAAATAGTGATTTAATCTTACAACATCACTTTTTTATTTGAAGATTGCTTTATAATGAGAGTTGTCTCCTGTTTATATGAAAAAACAGCCCCAAGAAACAATAATTGAAGAATTTATAATTCCAATTAATTTTGACAATCTGGATAGTTGATTTTCACCTGATAGTTTCTAACAAATTTGATATAAAAGCAAGTATATTAACCCTTTCACCCCTATGTAACTTTAGAAGACTCTACCATGCATTGATCTGGACAAGTCCATTATGGTCTATAGTGGTGAAAGGGTTAAGAATACTTTGAAATGTGTTCTTGTAACAGAGATCCAAGGTCAAGGTCACCATTGCTATTTATATACATTTGTCAACAAATTAAGTGACATCACTTAGAGAGCCTCATCATTCCATTGTAGATACTGATAAAATGTTATACATATGTCAGTAAGGAGAAAACCTTGAATGAGGTCATATTTCAAGGTTAGAAGGCCATGGTCAAGGTCACTTTTACTATTTATATTCATTTTTCAAATGATGACACTATTACTGATTAGCATAGGTGCGGTACAGCAGGCACAATAACGTCTTACAGACATATTATAGTTTTAGTAAAGTTTCACCTTTTTCAATGGAAAGTTCTAAACAGTTTAAGTATTTTTCAGGTACGGGCGACAGCAAGAAAAAAGACAAGAAGATTGGGGAGATTCCTTGTCGAGTGTGTAGCGCCCCATCTTCAGGATTCCACTTTGGAGCACTCACCTGTGAAGGGTGTAAGGTAATATCACATGTTTTCTATACAATGCAATGCAGCATTGGAATATTCCCGATTTTGTGACATCATGTCATTTTTGTCCCAAACCCACACCATTGGGTCCAACCCTGTCAAATGTTCTAGTCACTGCTGCCAATTAGGGCAGCTGATCTCGATATTGTCGTTCCTATTATCACTGCGTGGCTTGTGTTGTTTCAGGGGTTCTTCAGGCGTATGGCAAAGGAGAGGGAATGTCAGCGTTACAAGTGTTCTAAGAATGGTAGCTGTGAAGTAAACACCATCACACGCAACCTCTGTAAGGCATGTCGCTATCGCAAGTGTGTAGAGTGTGGCATGTCCATCGAAGGTAATTGTATTAGCATTTTCTTAATTGGAACCTCACCAGAAAGAGCATTTTATAAATAAGTATGAATTGTTTTGACGATATTCTAGAGATGTTTATCACTATTTTTCATTTTTTAGGAAGCAGAATTGGTCGCCAGCCAAACTCAGTCAAGCATGCAATATCTATTGAGGCAGAGAAACAAGGAAAGACACAGTGTAAGGAGCAGGTACTCAACGATGGCATCAACATCAGTGACATGGAGGCTATGGTTAATGCAGCCATACCAGCCACGGTAGAGGAACTGGCGCAAATAACATCGGATATACAACCACAGCAATTTGACGTGAAGGAAATGAAAGGAGAGGTCAAAATTTCTGAAGAAAACAAGGACTTGGAGACTACACCTCTGCCACTTGTCCCTGTGGAGATTAAACAGGAACCACAATCACCAATGGCCACGATTACGAAACCCTTTACCTTGAGGAGCAGTTGCAGCGGCAGCAGTATTGTAGACAGCATCAGTTGCGAAAAGACCTTTGAGATTCTTGATAAATGTGCTGATTGTAATGAGGAATTAGAACACCTTCTACCAGTTATTAAGAATGTAAGTATAACACTCCTTTTATTTTCACTGCAAATATTAAGTAATTATTTAGGACAAGATATGCTTGTTAAGAGAGATAGAAACACTGCCTTTATTAGTGCTCCTCTGTTGTAACATTCTTTGGTTTTGGAGATAGAAACCTAAAATGTAACACAACAGACCTATCAAGTATCATTTTACTTCAATAAGCATTATTATTTTCTGTGTTAATGCAAACGTATATATACAGTTAGTTCTATGTCCTACTTATTACTACTTCTTAGTTTACTTCATCCTCTATACTCCATGGGTTACGCTCACTAACGCTCTCTGCACCCCTGGAATATGTCATAGCAATATTGATGGCTCACAGCTAGCTATTTTGATTGGTATCAGGTAAAATAAAAAAGACCAATCACTAGGCTAATGCCTGTTCTTTGAAGATTACAGAGGAGCGACACCCGACTTAGTTCAAAGCCAGTCAATTTTACCGTTACACGACCGAGAGTTTTTTTTTTATATACATCAAAGGAGCAAACTAGTCTTCTTGTCTCATCCACAAGGTGGCGCACACCGAGCCTTTGCTTTTGCTATGACATATTCCAGGTGTGCAGAGAGTGAAAGTAAGCATAACATCTGGAATATCGAGGATGAGTTTACTTCAGCTTAATAATTGTTCTTGGTATATGTATCAAATATCCTTTCTTTGTAATACATGTAATACTATTTTTTGCTTGCAGAATGAAGAGGATGAATTAGCTGAGTTTACATCTATAAAAAGTTCATGGGTCAACATGATGTCTTCATTTGAATTCACTGCCAGAAAACTCATCAAATTCTCAAAGAAAGTTCCTGGTAAAATATTCTCAGATTTCTTCATCTTTTTTTTTGGCTGAATATTGAGGCATAAAACAATGTGTAAAGGAACTTATCTTGACAGTCTCAGATTTCAAAAAAATAATCTATTTTTCAATAAATCCAAACTAGTATATGTCATCCATATAGAAAGTAAATACTGTATGCCGGGAAATTTCCGTCCAGTCAAACTTTCGCCCTTCACCAGGATCATCTATATTTGCTTAGTGTTAATTTCTCCCGTCACATTTAATTACTATGTATAACATGTTGTTTACTAATGTTCGGTGTGTTGATAAATTCGCCCTCATTACAGACAGAGAAAAAGGAGAAAATTAAACTACAGCGAAAAATTTCCCAGCATACAGTGTTGTATCATTTCCCACTCAAGTTGGATTTGAACCACATCAGAAAATTAAGATGCCTCCAGTGGCTATTTTGGATTTCGTGAATTGCAATCAGCAATCATTACCAACTAAACTGGGGCAGGCACCGTATCTCCTTCCATGAAACTACTATACTCTCTAGTTGTAAACTTTCACTAATGTTATGCCTGTTTCCTTTTTCTAATTTTTTGAATAATAATTTGTTTTCAGGTTTCCGAGCCATTTCATTGGATGACCAAATCAAGCTCATACAAGCCTCAATCTACCCAATAGTAGTCTTGAACTGTTCACGAAGCTTTGACAATGAAACCAAACAGTTCAGCTACTTCAACTACACACCAAGACAGAGGGAAACAATTCAATCATTCTTCCCGATGCTGAAAATCCTATCAAGCCACTTTATACACACGGGCACTATGGTGAAACTGATGAACTTTAGTTCGATGGAATACACTTTCCTGTCCATTCTGCTGCTGTTGAATGCTGGTAGGTATCCTTTTTTGGTTAAAACTGATTGTTATAAGACCTGCCTTGCTTCTAACATCTGTTGCATACAACTGTCTCAAAGTACATACATGTACATCAATTCAGAGAGTTCCGGTAAAAATTGTGTGAAGGACATAAACATATTTTGACATTTTGGGTTTTATTGCTGGATCATTGAACATCTGGAGCATGGATCTATACTTTGCTTATTAGTCACCTACTGGTGAAACCGGGGGGACTATAGTTTTCCTATCCGTCCGTCTGCGTACGTACGTAACACCATTGTTCATCAGCGCTCTAGCGACTTCATTCCTTGAGGGATTTAGATCAAACTTCACACAATTACAAATTTAAAGGACCATAATATCTCGGACAAGTTCGAATTTCAGAGTTAATGGGTCAAGGTCACTGTTACTATTTTTAGAAAATTCATTGTCAGCGCTCTAGCGGCTTCATTCCTTCATGAATTTTGATCAAACTTCACACAATTACAAAGGACCATAATATCCCAAATTAACACCAAAGGGTACCATTTTTATAAATCATTACAGTTTAATAGCTAGCAGGGGCCGGTAGGGGACATGTAATGCTTTAGCAATACTCAGTATGCTTGTTTTCACATTTTTTTTACAATTAAACAATTATTTAGCTCAACAAAATCCTATATTTGCCAAGATAAATAAAATTTTACTTCCATTGATCTGAACAAACAGTTACACTGACCAAGCCTGAGGGATATTTTAATATTGTCCTGTTACGTTGACCAAGCCTGAGGGATATTCTGATATTGTCCTGTTACATTGACCAAACCTGAGGGATATCCTGATATTGTTCTGTTACACTGACCAAGCCTGAGGCATATCCTGATATTGTCCTGTTACTCTGACCAAGCCTGAGGGATACCCTGATATTGTCCTGTTACACTGACAAAGCCTGAGGGATATCCTGATATTAGCCTGTTACATTGACCAAGCCTGAGGTATATCCTGATATTGTCCTGTTACCCTGACCAAGCCTGGGGGATATTTTGATATTGTCCTGTTACATAGACCAAGCCTGAGGGATATCCTGGTATTGTCCTGTTACATTGACCAACCCTGAGGGATATCCTGATATTGTAGTGTTACATTGACCAAGCCTGAGGCATATCCTGATATTGTCCTTTTCCACTGACCAATTCTGAGGGATATCCTGATATTGTTCTGTTACACTGACCAAGCCTGAGGGATATTTTAATATTGTCCTGTTACGTTGACCAAGCCTGAGGGATATTCTGATATTGTCCTGTTACATTGGCCAAGCCTGAGGGATATCTTGATACTGCCCTGTCTGACCAACCCTGAGGGATATTTTGATATTGTCCAGTTACACTGACCAAGCCTGAGGGATACCCTGATATTGTCCTGTTACACTGACAAAGCCTGAGGGATATCCTGATATTATTGTGTTACACTGACCAAGCCTGTGGGATATCATGATATTGTCCTGTTACACTGACAAAGCCTGAGGGATATCCTGATATTATTGTGTTACACTGACCAAGCCTGGGGGTTATCCTGATTTTGTCCTGTTACATTGACCAAGCCTGCGGGATATCCTGATATTGTCCTGTAACATTGACCAAGCCTGAGGGATACCCTGATATTGTCCTGTTACACTGACAAAGCCTGAGGGATATCCTGATATTGACCTGTTACATTGACCAAGCCTGATGGATATTTTGATATTGTCCTGTTACATCGACCAAGCCTGAGGGATATCCTGGTATTGTCCTGTTACATTGACCAAACCTGAGGGATATCCTGATATTGTCGTGTTACACTGACCAAGCCTGAGGCATATCCTGATATTGTCCTGTTACTCTGACCAAGCCTGAGGGATACCCTGATATTGTCCTGTTACACTGCCCAAGCCCGAGGGATATCTTGATATTGTCCTGTTACACTGACCAAGGCTGAGGGATATCCTGATATTGGCCTGTTAGATTGACCAAGCCTGAGGGATATCCTAATATTGTTGTGTTACACTGACCAAGCCTTAGGGATATCCTGATATTGTCCTGCTACATTGATCAAGCCTGAGGGATATCTTGATACTGCCCTGTCTGACCAACCCTGAGGGATATTTTGATATTGTCCAGTTACACTGACCAAGCCTGAGGGATATCCTGGTATTGTCCTGTTACATTGACCAAACCTGAGGGATATCCTGATATTGTCGTGTTACATTGACCAAGCCTGAGGTATATCCTGATATTGTCCTGTTACACTGACCAAGCCTTAAGGGATATCTTGATATTGTCCTGTTACTCTGACCAAGCCTGAGGGATACCCTGATATTGTCCTGTTACACTGACAAAGCCTGAGGGATATCCTGATATTATTGTGTTACACTGACCAAGCCTGAGGAATATCTCAATCCTGTTGTGTTTACAGGTCATCACTGTTTCTTCATGTTAACTCTCTTATGTTCCATCCTTTCTGTTTAGATGTTATTGTCCTGTTACACTGACCAATCCTGAGGGATATTTTAATATTGTCTGTTACGTTGACCAAGCCTGAGGGATATTCTGATATTGTCCTGTTACATTGGCCAAACCTGAGGGATATCCTGATATGGTCCTGTTACATTGACCAAGCCTGAGGAATATCCTGATATTGTCCTGTTACTCTGACCAAGCCTGGGGGATATTTTGATATTGTCCTGTTACCCTGACCAAGCCTGGGGGATATTTTGATATTGTCCTGTTACCCTGACCAAGACTGAGGGATATCCTGATATTGCCCTGTTAAACTGACCAAGCCTGAGGGATATACTGAATTTGTTGTGTTACACTGACCAAGCCTGGGGGTTATCCTGATTTTGTCCTGTTACATTGACCAAGCCTGCGGGATATCCTGATATTGTCCTGTAACATTGACCAAGCCTGAGGGATACCCTGATATTGTCCTGTTACACTGCCCAAGCCCGAGGGATATCTTGATATTGTCCTGTTACCCTGACCAAGCCTGGGGGATATTTTGATATTGTCCTGTTACCCTGACCAAGACTGAGGGATATCCTGATATTGCCCTGTTAAACTGACCAAGCCTGAGGGATATACTGATATTGTCCTGTTACACAGACCAAGCCTGAGGGATATTTTGATATTGTCCTGTTACATAGACCAAGCCTGAGGGATATCCTGATATTGTTGTGTTACACTGACCAAGCCTGAGGGATATCCTGAATTTGTTGTGTTACACTGACCAAGCCTGAGGGATATCCTGATATTGTCCTGTTACATTGACCAAGCCTGAGGGATATCTTGATATTGTCCTGTTACACTGACCAAGCCTGGGGGATATTTTGATATTGTCCTGTTACATCGACCAAGCCTGAGGGATATCTTGATATTGTCCTGTTACACTGACCAAGCCTGAGGGATATCCTGATATTGTCGTGTTACACTGACCAAGCCTGAGGAATATCTCAATACTGTTGTGTTTACAGGTCATCACTGTTTCTTCATGTTAACTCTCTTATGTTCCATCCTTTCTGTTTAGATGTGGAAAATCTGGAGGATTCTGAGAGGGTTCGTAAACTGCTGCTGGACACCACCTTTGCCTTGCAATATCATGAAGAAAGTATGTAATGGTGGTTTTCTCAGATCTTATCACAAGTATTAACAAACAAGATGTGACATTAAAAAGATAAATCTATAAACTGTATATTGCTACCATTTTTGCAAATATCACAGACATACAGCCGTAAAATTCCCAGTAGTAACTATACCAGTTATGTTTGTATAACAAGTCTAATAATGGTAAACTCATTACTGTGAAGAGCAACTATAACCATATATATATCATAAATAAGAAATCTGTATATGGCAAATAAGATCTACCCTTCAGCTTGACACTGAGTGTGAGTATTGATCTGCTCATAGGCAATATGAATGCCAACTGGACAATGGCAAATCCAACAGGAAGTGCTAGTCACGCTTTATTGAATTTGCTTTGTTTAATGCTTCATGAACTTAGAAGTGAAATCCAGTTCCTTAACTGTAAACATTAGAACAGTATAAACATCATAAAATAGATTCAATCACAACAGGCGAAGGAGCAATAAGTTGTTCTTGTAGTTTATTAGAAGTGTCAACCGGTTTCGCATTAGAACAGTATGTACAGTCAGAATCATTGTATTTTGTGAATGATTTCTGTGAACTGTATGTATGGCTCTTATTTCATAGCCACCTACACTGATGGCAGTACACGCTTCGGGATGTTGCTGGTGAGGTTAGCTGAACTACACTTCATCCTCATACAACACAACACAGCCATCACCGTCATGCTCAAGAAAAATCCTGAACTGACACTTCCACAGATGTACAAAGAAATGTTTGGTAAGTAGTGACTGGGTTGAATGAGACACCACACATGTAAATGACACAACACATGTGAATGAGACACCACACATGTAAATGAGAAAACACACATGTGAATGAGACACCACACATGTGAATGAGACACAACAGATGTGAATGAGGCATCACACATGTGAATGAGACACAACACATGTGAATGAGACATCATACATGTGAATGAGGCATCACACATTGTGAACGAGACACCACACATTGTGAATGAGACACCACACATTGTGAATGAGACATCACACATGTGAATGAGACACCACACATTGTGAACGAGACACCACACATATGAATGAGACACCACACATTGTGAATGAGACACCACACATTGTGAATGAGACACCACACATTGTGAATGAGACACCACACATGTGAATGAGACACCACACATTGTGAATGAGACACCACACATGTGAATGAGACACCACACATTGTGAATGAGACACCACACATTGTAAATGAGACACCACACATTGTGAATGAGACATCACACATGTGAATGAGACACCACACATGTAAATGAGACACCACACATTGTGAATGAGACATCACACATGTGAATGAGACACCACACATGTAAATGAGACACCACACATTGTGAATGAGACATCACACATGTGAATGAGACACCACACATGTAAATGAGACACCACACATTGTGAATGAGACACAACACATTGTGAATGAGACACAACACATGTGAATGAGACACCACACATTGTGAATGAGACACCACACATGTAAATGAGACACCACACATTGTGAATGAGACACAACACATGTGAATGAGACACCACACATTGTGAATGAGACACCACACATTGTGAATGAGACACAACACATGTGAATGAGACACCACACATTGTGAATGAGACACCACACATTGTGAATGAGACACAACACATGTGAATGAGACACCACACATTGTGAATGAGACACCACACATTGTGAATGAGACACAACACATGTGAATGAGACACCACACATTGTGAATGAGACACCACACATTGTGAATGAGACACAACACATGTGAATGAGACACCACACATTGTGAATGAGACACCACACATTGTGAATGAGACACAACACATGTGAATGAGACACCACACATTGTGAATGAGACACCACACATGTGAATGAGACACCACACATTGTGAATGAGACACAACACATGTGAATGAGACACCACACATTGTGAATGAGACACCACACATTGTGAATGAGACACAACACATGTGAATGAGACACCACACATTGTGAATGAGACACCACACATTGTGAATGAGACACAACACATGTGAATGAGACACCACACATTGTGAATGAGACACCACACATTGTGAATGAGACACAACACATGTGAATGAGACACCACACATTGTGAATGAGACACCACACATTGTGAATGAGACATCACACATGTGAATGAGACACCACACATGTAAATGAGACACCACACATTGTGAATGAGACATCACACATGTGAATGAGACACCACACATGTAAATGAGACACCACACATTGTGAATGAGACATCACACATGTGAATGAGACACCACACATGTAAATGAGACACCACACATTGTGAATGAGACATCACACATGTGAATGAGACACCACACATGTAAATGAGACACCACACATTGTGAATGAGACACAACACATTGTGAATGAGACACAACACATGTGAATGAGACACCACACATTGTGAATGAGACACCACACATGTAAATGAGACACCACACATTGTGAATGAGACACCACACATTGTGAATGAGACACAACACATGTGAATGAGACACCACACATTGTGAATGAGACACCACACATTGTGAATGAGACACAACACATGTGAATGAGACACCACACATTGTGAATGAGACACCACACATTGTGAATGAGACACAACACATGTGAATGAGACACCACACATTGTGAATGAGACACCACACATTGTGAATGAGACACAACACATGTGAATGAGACACCACACATTGTGAATGAGACACCACACATTGTGAATGAGACACCACACATGTGAATGAGACACCACACATTGTGAATGAGACACCACACATGTGAATGAGACACCACACATTGTGAATGAGACACCACACATGTGAATGAGACACCACACATTGTGAATGAGACACCACACATGTGAATGAGACACCACACATTGTGAATGAGACACCACACATTGTGAATGAGACACAACACATGTGAATGAGACACCACACATTGTGAATGAGACACCACACATTGTGAATGAGACATCACACATGTGAATGAGACACCACACATGTAAATGAGACACCACACATTGTGAATGAGACATCACACATGTGAATGAGACACCACACATGTAAATGAGACACCACACATTGTGAATGAGACATCACACATGTGAATGAGACACCACACATGTAAATGAGACACCACACATTGTGAATGAGACATCACACATGTGAATGAGACACCACACATGTAAATGAGACACCACACATTGTGAATGAGACACAACACATTGTGAATGAGACACAACACATGTGAATGAGACACCACACATTGTGAATGAGACACCACACATGTAAATGAGACACCACACATTGTGAATGAGACACAACACATGTGAATGAGACACCACACATTGTGAATGAGACACCACACATTGTGAATGAGACACAACACATGTGAATGAGACACCACACATTGTGAATGAGACACCACACATTGTGAATGAGACACCACACATGTGAATGAGACACAACAGATGTGAATGAGGCATCACACATGTGAATGAGACACCACACATGTGAATGAGACATCATACATGTGAATGAGGCATCACACATTGTGAACAAGACACCACACATGTGAATGAGACACCACACATTGTGAATGAGACACCACACATGTGAATGAGACACCACACATTGTGAATGAGACACCACACATGTGAATGAGACACAACACATGTGAATGAGACACCATACATTGTGAATGAGACACCACACATGTAAATGAGAAAACACACATGTGGATGAAATGTTACACATGTGAATGTGGTACCAATTATATTCCATATATTTGTTTTGATAACATTAATTAAAGCTAGGTCAATTGACCTCATTTATATCTTTTTGAAAAAACATTTCTAAAAACGTTTTCTTATACAATGATATAGAACGATTAATACATGTAATGTAAATTTTTTTATTTTTTTTTAATAAAAATCCAGGCATCTGTTTTTGAGTGTCATCAAGTGTAAAAGACACCATAATTACTCCTCTTCATTTCTATTCTTTTCCAGATACCGATATTATCTGGTATAAAAGGGCTTAGTATAATTGAGTAAATGTTGTTTTTGTTGTCTTAAAGGTGAGAAAGTGCTGGAGAACTGACTTTTCTGAAGATTTACAGAACACAGAAACAGCTACTGTTTCAGTAACTTAATTCGCTTTTCTGAAGGTTTAGAGGACACAGAATCAGCTACTGTTTCAGTAACTTAATTCACTTTTCTGAAGGTTTACAGGACACAGAAACAGCTACTTGAATGGAGGGGGATGGGTGGTGTGTTTTAGTATACCTGTTGCTTATAGTCCTATTTTAAAATTGTTATTGTCAAGAAATACAACATTCATTAAGGATTAACTTGAATATATTTTTAATGTTATGGATATATAACACAAAAAAATGGAGTGTACTCTCATCATAAACCGCAACCGCTTGTGGTTTATTAGCTCACCTGGCACAAAGTGCCAAGTGAGCTTATGCCGTGGCGCGGCGTCCGTCCGGCCGTCCGGCCGTCCATCCGTCTGGCCGGCCGGCGTCAATATTCTACTTTTAAACGACTTCTTCTTAATAACCGAAAGGCCTAGGGTGTCGATATTTGGCCAGAAGCAAACTGGGATGAAGGGCTACAAAGTTTGT